ACAAAAAAAAAAAAAAAAAAATGCTGAAGAGGGTGCAAAACAGCAAACTTAATGAATCGGTGGTAGGACTACAAAATACATAATATAACCACTTTGGAAATGATTCAGTAGTTCAAAAACTAAACACATTGTTGTACAATGTAACAATCACTTTCCTTGGTATTCAGCCAAAGGAGGGGAAACTTTGTCTATATAAAAATTAATACATAGATATTTGTAGCAGCTTTACTTTTAACTGCCAAAATTTGGAAAAGACCAGTATAACCTCCAATAGGCAAATGGAAAAATTGTGATACATCCAAATGGAATATTATTCAGTGCTAAAGAGAAAAGAACTATTAAACCATGAAAAAGATTGATATGAAACTTAAGTGCACATTACTATGCAACACAAGCCAACCTGGATAGGATACATACTATATGTTTCTAACTAGATGACATTCTGGAAAAGGAAAAATAGGCTAGTAGTAAAAACACAGTAGTTACAGTAATATAGGGGTAAGAAGAATGAAAAGGTAGAGCACAGAGGATTGTTAGTACAGTGATATTACGCGTGATATTACGCACGATACTGTAATGGTTATGAACCTAAAACTGCTCATTTAAAAAGTCTAACAACATTACTTGTTTTGAATTAATGTAAAATGGAATGACAAATGTAAAAAAATAAAGCTTCAAAATTGTTTTTTTTTTTTTTTAATCGGTACCAGGGATCAAACTCACAACTGCTTGCTTGCAAGGCAGGCGCTTATGCCGCTGAGCTAAATCCCCAGCCCCCAAAATTCTTAATAGAAAACATAGGCAACTTCCATCTTTTAAACCCAGGAAATGAGTTTAAGGAACAATTTCTTCCACAATACAAGTAAAGCAATTACAATTAAAAAAATGGGTAAAATTTAACTTCATTAAAATTAAGATTCTAGGTTAGCAATTCTAGTAAAATGTTCATGCAAGAGAAGATATTTTGTTTTACAGCTGGTATTATATTTGGTCACCTAACGCACTTTACTGGCAAGCTATGCCAAGTACTTGAATAACTGACCCACAAAATCCTGTATTTGGAATGTACCATGCTTCAAATAAAATGAGTTTTATTGACAAATAATACGAAGTAGTTTGCAGCAAAGCAATACAGAAGGAAGAAATGAACAGCTGAAAAACAATTTACACATACAGTTTTCATTATTTGCTTCTGTGTTTACCCTTTGAATCAACTAATATCTCAGTGCCTAATTTGTGTAGTGAAACATATAGAACAAATAGACATTTGTATAAAATATTTGGGTTAGTTTATAAACCAACAGGACATAAGTTGTATAACTTTACCCCTTTTATACCAAATGTACAATAGAAATTAAATATAAGCTTCCTGATCATGATGAAATTAATGATTCTGAGTATTCTCCAGAATGGTAAAACATTTAAAACTGTTCCTCCCAAAAAACTCCCTACAAGAAAGTGAAAAAGACAATTCAAAAATTCAGAGATTTTTAATATATATAGAATTAACATAAATATAAAAAATGCTTACAAATTTTAAAAATAATCAGAAAAACAGACAAAAGAGACAAGAACAGGAATTACACTGAAAAGAAAACATAAAAGTCCAGGAAGTAAAAAAGAAATTCTCTAAGTAATAATTAGAAAAACATACATCAAGATCACAAGATAACGTTACCCCTTTGACTTGTAAAAATTTTTTAAAAAATCAAATGTTGAAGAGAATACATAATCAGAATCTTTATCTTTTATATTGATGCAATCATACTGGAAGTTCTGTATCAACTCTTAGTTGCATGTTCATTTCCCTATGAGGCATCAATTGTACTTCTGTACATATATAATCAACAGAAACTTTTACATGTGTGAAAAGGGCTGGAGATTTAGCTCAGTGTTGTAAGCGCCTGCCTGGCAAGCATGAGATTATGAGTTTGATCCACAGAACAAAAAGAAAAAAGAAAAAGACAATGGAAAATATGCACACAATGTCCCTGTTTGTTCACAATTACAAAAACCAGAAAAGAACTGAATGTCTCACACGTGAGAATAAATATCCAAATATTCAATGGAAGAAAATAAAACCACACACAATAATATGGATAAATCTTAACAAAATTAGGTGAAAAATCAAGTTAAAAGGTTATATTCAAGATAATTATATAAAAACAACTAAAATAAAAGATACTTTTTAATAAGTATACATTCAGAGATAACCACAGGATTCAAGATGACAATTATCTGGTGACATTAGAAGGTGGAAATAAGTACATGAAATGGAAAGGAAAAAACCCCTACAATGTAGTTAAATCCCTTGAGTAGAGGGGGACGGAACAGTCCACAAATACTTTATTGTGACAGTCAGATAATGATTTAACGCAGTGTGCCTGAGGGTGAACCACACTAGGCAACCTCATAACTTGCAACCTCATAACTTAGTGAGTCCCTGTCCCAAACTACAAAGGAAAGAGTCGAGCATGTATCTCACTGCGAAGATCCTAGGTTCAATGCCCAATGCAAAAAAAAAAAAAATTTACATGTACAGTAATTCGTCCAATGAACATTGTCATATAGGCAGAATAATCACCCACTCAGAAAACCCCTACAGTGCCAGTTACAGGAAAGGGAACATGGTAAGGTTAAGGTATAAAATATGATAGCTATTCAGCATATATTAAAGTATCATTTATAACCAAAAGTTTCAAATTCTGTCATGGCTTCTTTCCAATAAATAAATGTACCCATATACCAGGTAAATGAAGCTTTAACTAATTAGACAAAATAATCAACGTCAAATTTCCAAAATGGATGTAGTTAATAATACTTATTACATAATTATTGTGTATAGCTGATTTGCATAATTTAGCACTTCAACATTTACTTTCAAATCTAAGTTGTTTATTATCAATTACTTTTTACAAGCTTTCTTGTTCATTTTTATACATATTAATGTATTATACAAATCCAATTTTGTGATGTTGTAAAAATCCAAATGCATTTCTAAAAAGCTAGTTTACATCTGGTTTCTCCAGATGTATTTGAAAAGCTAGACACATCTCAAGATAAATGTTCTCTATTTCTGGTTTCCCAAGACACTCAAATTAATTAATTAATTTATTTATTTTTGGTCTTTTAAAGATAGAGTTTTACTATGTAGTTCAAGTTGGCCTTGAACTCACTTTGTAGCCCAGGCTGGTCTCAACTCAGCGTCCTGACTGAACATCCCAAAATTATACATATGCTACCATGCCTGGTTACTTTTTCATTAGTATTTTTTCCCCCACTCAAAATTTTCAATCCTTGCTTTCAAAGCTATGCATATTAAATCTCATATTTTATTATACTCGACTAAAATTGGTTTTTAAAAAAATAGGTATGTGACAAGTGTTCAACATAATATACTTCATTAGGCAATAGTCGTAATTATTTTACTAAAATACTATTTGTGCTTATGGAAGTAATATTTTAAGTAACATTCACCTCTACAAGCTAGTACATTACTCTATTTGTTTAAAAGTAGACACTGGCATAATCTGATAAATGGCATAATTTTCCACTGCTAAATTTGAAAAGCAAAGGAGAGCCCAAATAAATGCTAATCCCTGGAGTAAATCTACAACTAGAAGATGTCCCTATTTCTCTCTGTCTCAACACTGATCACAGATGAGTCACAGAAGGAAAATTAACCTCTATTATAATAACATGAGGTAAGAAAACACAAATCATTTTAGAGCCATCTTTAATGAACCAGTTTCAGGAGACATTTTTACTGAGATAGACAACAAACAATATGGCAAAAAAGTATGCACTGAAAATTATAAATGTTGAAGCTATATAACAGCAGTAACACTCAAACTAACATTACTGATTTACTGTTCAGAATTATATATTAATGTCTATTATTAATCCAAACTGTACTGTTCAGCTTTCTCCTTAACTGTATCTAAAAGTATTGATTTTAAAATGAAAATATGTAAAAATAATATTTTAAAAATATTTTTTAAAAAAACATCAATAAAATACTTTAAAAAATATTTTTTAAAAAGACATCAATAAAGCTACCTAGTCCATTTATATAGAACTAGTGGCAAGAAAAACAATTTTTACCCTACACTTATTTCTGCATTACAGCTTGCTATAGTTTCAATTTGGTATGTTCCCCAAAGGCAAGAGTATTAAATGCTTGGTGCCCACTTTGGCACTAATGGGTGGTGGTGGAACTTTCAGTGGAGCCTACTGGGAAGTCTTTAGGTCATTGGGAGTATGCTGCCAAAGGGGAGATTGCGAGCCCAGCCTCTTCTTCCTCTCTTTTGCTTCTCAGTCATGACGTGAGCAGCTCTCCATCAATAAGAAATGCCAAAAAAAATGTGCTATCCTTCAAACACAGGCTAACAAGAAATAAATCTACCTGAGGATAGACTAGATGTCCAAAACTGTGAACCAAGTAAATGTTTTCTCTTCATAAACTGATTGTCTCAAGTATTTGTTATAGTAACAGAAAGGTAATGCTCTGAATGTCATTTCCTATCAAAATTCTAAAGAATAAAATGGTATAAAGGAAAAGGAAGTGGATTTTAATACCATAGGATTTGAAGTTGGTGTTGGCTATTAGTTACCGCTAAGTGATGGAGCAATGAGCACCTTTTCTGTGGCTTTTTTCATTTTCAGGTTTTCTACAGTAAATGTGAGTTACATTTATAACTTGAAGAAACTGTAAAATCCATTTACCTTTTAATACATCATTTCACCCTAAAATCTTTCCAACTAAGATCTACTTTCTAGTATCACTGCAAAATTAAATGCCACCCCCTAACTTCCCACCAAGTGGGTAAAATACCAGCATGCTGGTGACATTGGTGTGACTAATGCAAAAATTCCTTTTGTCCAGAAGTTTTGAGAAGAAGGATTAGGAAAGTAAAGAAAACTAAAAACAGTAATTCCTTGGTTATCAGTATCAGATTGGTTTCAGGATACTAAAACATGCAGGTGCTCAAGTTTCTTACATATGATGGTACTGTACATTTGGCTCTCTGTATCCATGGGTTCCGTATCTGTGGATTCCCCATGAATCAAATATATCTGAAAATACAAACAAAGCTGCACTGAATATATAGACATTTTTCTTGTCATTACTGGCAAGAAATAATAACTTATTTAGCATCTGTACGGCATTAGATATTAAAAGTTATCTAGAGATGATTTTAAATACGTAAATTATGATGTCATTTTATAAAGGCATAAAGGACTCAAGGATCTGAAGATTCTGGGATTTGTGAGATCCCAGAACTAAAGCCCCATGGATCTCAAGTGACAAATACATTTGCATATCATCTATACACATCTTCTAGTACTACATACACATTATAAAAACAGTTGCTCTGTAGTACTGTTTGGAGAATAGTGATAGGGAAAAAGTGTGTATATGTTCAGTATAAGCGTTCAATATATGCCTTTGGTTGAATCCATGGATGTGGGACGTATACCACACATTATGTGTCAGTGATCATAGAGAACTCTTAAAAGTTAAGACATTCCTCAGGCCAAGTGGTAAATGCAGCTTTCTCATCAATATACTGCATACCTACTAAGGGCTAAACAGAGCTTGGTTACACATAAACTTAAATTTTTAAAGCAAAGTTTATCCTATGAACAGCCTACAAAGAAAATGATAACTTAACACTTTTCGTTAAAAACTGTGAGATAAAGACTATGAAAGATGATTGTTACTATTACATCTGACTCGCAATAATACAGCACTGCTAAATTATAGACTACCAAAACAAACACGAAAATCATTTTCTCGTTCCAGCAAGATTTAACAGATAATTACAATTTTGGCCAATTTTTACAAATTTCATACAACTTAACATTGAAATGTAAAATATTTATGGGTTCACAGTACTGTGGCAGCTTAAAGAATGGTGTAGTAGGAAACATAATACACATTTGGATTCAAATTCAGACTTAAAATGTGACCATAGGCAACGTACTTAAGATTAATGAACTTAGCTCTCTGATCCATAAAATAATACCCTGGCCTTAGATCAATGTGAAGGTCAAGTACGGCGCACAGGATACTAAGTATAATATCTGATATACAGTAAACAATAAATGTTAATTTATCTATCATACAATCCTCTTTTAGTACAAAAGTTATTTGTACTGTCTCTTGGAAAGCAAAAACTAATTATGTGTTAGCATCATATCCTAAATATGTGACAACATTATAGAAGTTTAATACCTCTACTTGAAAGCTAACTACCTCAAGTTTTCCAATTGAGCAAACTCTCTTTACTTACACAGCATAAATTCTGCTAGGAATGGAATTTAAGATTCCCAACAAAACAATTTACTACGTATTCTGATAAAGAAAGTGAATCAACAATAATCAGCAAGGTAACTTTATTAGTATGCTACTCAATATTTGGTTCTCAACTCCACAAAATTACAGTTGTAGCCAACATTCCATTTTGAAATCCTTTACAGTTTTTGTTAATCCAGTTTCCTTAGTTTCTTTGGCCTCACAAAAAATATTTACATTTCTTGCTGTACTTCAAATAAGAAATGAGGGAGACTAGGATAAAATAAATTAGTTATATGTGATAAAAATGACAAATTGCCAATTAAGTTTACATTTTTAAAGACTATGTTTATTTTTACTGTAGTAAACACTTTTCCATATACCTTGATGTCTCTGGTCATCAAAGTTTGTGTATGACTTATTAATGCTTCCTTGTTTAATAATCCTCCACATTACTAGCAAGAGTTAGAAAATTACCCTCAGAAATATTACAGTAATTGATAAAACAAAATGCTGTGGTTTCAGAGGTTTTTTTGGTTTTATCTTCCTATAATCAAAGGTTATTAAGAAGTAAGCCAATTCCAGCTTAATAAAGTGTTTTGAATTCTCCAGTATGATTTGAAAAAATGGAAAGCTGTAGGTATATTTATAAAATCATTAAAGTTACACTATATAATGTTCATAGTAAAACAAGTAATCCTAAAGTATGGCAAGTCAGTTTTTAACCATCAAACACATTAAAACTGGGTCATATAACTTACTAAATACTTTCTTGTTGAAAAGCATAAGAAATTAATATTACATTGTTTTTCAATACAAATAAACAAATTAAACCCTTAAAAAATTGATTCTCAAGTTGGTAAATATTTGGTTATCATATACTAGTTTCATGACACAATAAAGCACTGAAATGTAGCAAATTTTATGACTAAGTGCTGATAAAAATATTTAAAAATGTATTAATAAACATAATAAACTTTAAATGCAGTAACATTACAAAGGAAGCCCAAAAACCAAAAAAATTGCCCTAGATATATATAACAAACTGAAGTTTATTAAAGTAACAATAGTTATTCTTTCCCTAGAGTTACTTTAATTTTAAACTATAAATTCAGTTGTTCTCAAAAAAATTTAGTTATTCTCCTACTTTGATCTCATTTAAAAATCACATTTAAAACGACTTAGTTCTTTAACTTGCTCATTATTGCCAAATCGATCTTATTAACTAAAAAAATCCTAAGAATTTTAATGTCAATTCCAGTATCAAAAATGTCCTTTATGAACTGTCTATAAAATACAAATAATGACATACTTGATAATTCTAACAACATTCAATTCAAAACAAAAATGCTCCTATCATTTTAATGGCTTTTCTCAATCAAAATCAAAGCATACTTTTCGTGTTTCAAAACTAAGCCATGTATTCTGATGTCTCAATTCTTATTTTAAAAGCTGATGCAAATTACTAAAATAATAAATTCTATCCATTTAGGAAACATTATATGCTGTTAAGACCTGCATTCTTGCTTACAAAAAGCTAGATGTTATTAAAACTACAGAGCAACATTCTAAAGGACAGGAAATTCAGCTTTGCATTTACAAAAGGGCTCCAAGTTTTAACTGTGTTCGCATACTGGAAATCTATATTTTTTGAGGACATATCAAGGATAGTAAAGTCTTTAACCTTACAGCTACACAGTAGACCAAATTTATACGGAGATTTAAAGAAAAGTGCAGAAGAAATGTAGACGCAATTGCAATATACAATCATGACACAAGAATCAACCATTCTAAAATTCATTTAAAAAACTGTCCAACCGTCCAAAACAAGAACATCTAATCCCCACTTCTAATGTTTTAGTAGCCAAAAGATGAGTATACTAAAACAAACCACGCTTAAAAGAAAAAAATAGGAAATTTTAATTCATATCTAAACATCCCTGAACACTCCAAAGTAATGAAAAATCAACCGGATAGGTTAGCGTTAAGTCTCCTCTTACACTAGAGATCTAAAAACAAAAATCGTGCATACATCACCAAATATTTAGTTAGAAATAAGAAGAGAATAAAATTGCTACTCGACATGGACTAATTAAGAGATCTACTTTGTTCTCAAGTGCTGTCCAACGTTTTGCCTTAGTCGACTTCTTTCTCACTGTAAACAACTTCTGTAGCTCTTTTTCTGGTGCTTAAATAGGGAGGGAAAATGAAAGTCTGAAAAAGCATCAGTATCTGAATTTCCAGTTATGAGCTGGGGTAACCAAGAATGGGACCATATATCACTCTGATTAAAAAAAAAAGAAAGAAAGAAAGAAAAAAGTAACTCGAAACCTGTTGGAAAGAACGTCACCTGAAAAGAGCTGGCGAAGCAAGCGCTTAGCACGAAGGCTTAAAAAAAATTGTTTGGGGGCTGGAAGTTATGGGGGCGCTCTTTGTGCACAGTCTGAGGGGAAGGGGAGGGACGAAAAAACAGCCTGGGAGTCATTCAAAGGAGTTTAAGCAGCGGACAACGCAGAAAGGCTGGGCGGGGCAGGCCGGCCGGGGAAGGGGCGGCGGGGGCGTCCTCAGGCAGCGCCGACACCTGGAGGGCGCGCGAGAGGCGGCTCCGGGAGCGGGCGCGCGGACTCCACCGCGGCGGGGATGGCCTGGGACCCCAGGGTCCTGTCTGGTTGGTCGGATCGCACTCCCGCGGCAGCAGGCCGGGTCTTCGGGGAGAGAGAGTGCGGCTCCCAGGGGAAGCGGTCCCGGAGTGACATCCCCGAATTTCCGCACTTAGCGGGCCAGGGGCGCGGCGGCCGCGAGGCTCCCCTCGACCCCCGACCGCGCGCCACGCTCTCCCTGCGCTTCGGCTGGCGCCTCCCGCCCGGCCGCGGCCCTTACCTGCAGCTCGGTGAGCAGAATCTCTCCCCGCTCGGGGTTGGACGCCATTGCGCTCCGCTCTGGACTCCGCACCTGAACGCGGCCGCCGGCGGCAGAGGGAGAAGGCGGGACGGGAGCCGAGGTGGGGGGTGAGGAGCGGGGAGAGGGAAAAAAAAAAACAACTAGGGATTCATGTAAGATGCAGCCCCGTTGGAGGCGCGGCTTACTCCTCCGGGATCATGGAGAGCGGCGGGGAGCGAGGGCCCTCGTAGCGGCTCCCCTCGCCGCCCGCCGCCGCCCGCGTTGGACTCTGCCCGCTCAGTCGCTCCCTCTGGGCGACGCCAGGAGCCGCCTCAAGCCTCTGCGTGCTGGGCGCAGCGGCCGCGGCTGCAGCTCCTCCTGTCGCACCATTTGGCTGTCACCGCGTCGCAAAAACGGCCTCACTTGGCGGCTGCCGGCACACGTGACGCCGGGCGGGGCAGGTGGGGCGGAGGGGACCCCAGGAGCGGAGCGGAGTGGGGCGGGGCGGGATAGAGCGGCTCTGGGACCCGGCCGGGGTGAGAACCAGGGGAAAGGCCTGGGCTTGCGTCTCAGGGGACGCGCGAAGGGGAAGAGAACACGCCCGCTGCGCGGAGGTGTGGACGGCCCCGCGGCGATCGCTAGGTCCCCGAAACCCGCTCGCTGGGGTGTTTTTGTTTTTCCCAGGGCCGCCTTTTCCTGCCGAAGTTTGAGACTATTCTAAAATAGGCTCTTTTCTCCCTTAACGGCCCCGAGAACCTCGGGACGCAGACCTCACAGATTATATATTTCTCCTTTTCCCTCCCCCACTGGCTGAAGCTAATAATCTTGCCTTTTGCTCGCCCCCACACGACGCTTTCCTTAGAGACAAGGCGGGCGCACACTTGCCTACGCTAGTGCGTGATCTGTGCTTTTCAAGAAACTTAAGCTGCTGGAGCCCTGGTGGCTTTTCAGTGAGAAACTTTTAAGGTGCCTTTTCCTCGAGCGCTCAATTACTGTGGTTTGGGTTGGAGAACTCTACTGAGTTTAGGATTTACTTAGGCTGCCTTCTTCAATTGTTTTAACCGAGTTTATATGCAGAAGATGGGGCGACATCAGCCTGGGGAATGGAGAAAAGCCAACTTTCCTTGGTGTGGGTAAACATTAGAACTCACTCCTCTACTTGGTAGTGTACAGCTTAGTTAAGTGTAAGTAGTTTACGCTTTTAAGATAGGACACTGTAGTACTCCACAGTAACAAAGTCTCTAACACGGCTTTTGTTTGTCTGCTTAGATAATGGATCTAGGCAGAAGCGTTACTTCTGATTATTTGAGGCTGCAGTACAGCGGTTTTGTTAAAAGCTACCTGGAGAAAATGGTAGGGATTATTTAGGTAAGTAGTTAGGTACTGAGGTGACTTTAGTTGATGGACATCTTTAAGAGTTGGAGCCATACTAGGACTTAATGTTTACCTTTTTGTTTCAAGTCTCATGTTTGAATTCAAAGGTTTATTGAAGAGCTGGAGTTCTGCGATCACATTTTCTGAACTCCCATTTAAGGAGTATTGATGAATAAATTTTCTAGTGTGTTCTTCAGAAATCTTAACCATTGCCTTGGTTGAAAATGTTAATTAACCTACGTGAACTAACATTTGGAAAAGCTAGTGTATGTAATTATCTTCCTGGATGATAACTTAAGAACCTAGCAGAAATAGGCCCTGGAGTTGTAACTAGGATTAAAAAGTAGTCTACCGCAAGTGACTGGGGAGACCTGGAGGAAATAAACTTTTGCCCCAGACAACTATTATACATTTTTAAATAGTTGATGCAAAGTATCCACTGCATATATGCTTCTGTATGTGTATTTTTTATTGTGGTGAAATGTAAAATGTACCCTTTTTTTGGTGCCGGGGATCAAACTCATGACCTTGTGTTTGCCAAGCAGGCACTTATGCAGCTGAGCTAAACCCCCGGCCCCAAAATATGCTATTGTAAGCATTTTGAGTGTATTCTAGGGTATTAAATCCATGCTGAATATTTTTATTATCTTTGTCTTGCCTTCAGAATGGATTTGAGTTTGTTGATGTGCGCATAATAGGTGATCAGTAATGGAATTAAAAATTATGTAGTGACTTAGAAATACAAGAAATATAGCCAGTGAGCCTTCTTTAAACAAAAAATTTAGGTATTTGAGGAAATGTTCACATTTTAGCACTATAGAATTTCTAAGTGCAGAAGAGAATTATAATATCTAACCTAACTCTTACTACAGATTAAAAAAAATAAGCCACCACTTAGTTAATTAGGAGCAAGACAACATTATTACTTAGTGGCAGACATGGAGATTAGAATTTGATTCTCCTGCTTGCCATCTGTGCTTGTTTACATCATCCTTTAAAACAGAGTTCTTGGGCTGAAGATCTAGCATAGTATTAAGAGTTCTTTCTTTGCGCAGTTAAGGCTCAGCATTCATCCCTGTCCTGCAAGAATCCTCATTTAAACTGAAAAAGTGTTATATAAACTCCCTCAGGTTTTTGCCATAGAAAAATTTCACATATTTCTAGTATTAAATGTTGATAATAATTTTAATTTCAAAGGTATTCTTTAGGGAAGCTAGATCTTTTGAAAATGGGAAGGAGACCAAGATATGGAGGGGGAAGGAAGGGGAAGATATGGGATGTAAAAACAATTAAGTTGTGTTTATGTACACTATCCATGTGAGTGTAATCATTATACACTCTACACATGTACTAATAAAAATTTAAAATATTTAATTTCACAAATCACATATAAG